TTATTATTATTATACTTTAAGTTCTAGGATACATGTGCATAACGTGCAGGTTTGTTACATATGTATACTTGTGCCATGTTGCTGTGCTGCACCCATCAATTTTTTTTGTAGAGGTATGGTTTCACTATGTTGCCCAGGTTGGTCTCAAACTTATGGGCTCAAGCGATCCACTTGTCTTGGTCTCCCAAAGGGCTGGGCCTACAGGCGTGAGCCACAGCACCCAGCCTTACTGCTGATTTTTTGTTTTGTTTTTTTGAGACAGAGTCTTGCTCTGTCGCCCAGGCTGGGGTGCAGTGGCTTCATCTCAGCTCACTGCAACCTCCAGCTCCTGGGTTCAAGCAATTCTCCTGCCTCGGCCTCCTGAGTAGCTGGACTACAGGTGCATGCCACCACGCCCAGCTAATTTTTGTATTTTTAGTAAAGATGGGGTTTCACCATGTTGGCCAGGCTGGTCTCAAACTTCTGACCTCAGGCAATCTACCCACCTTGGCCTCCCAAAGTGCTGGGATTACAGGCGTGAGCCACCGTGCCCAGCCATTGCTTTTTCTTAATGAATCTTCTTTCACTAAGGTCTTACAATGATAATAGAACCCAATACCTATGACCTTAATAAGCTATGTCTCTGTTTTCGTTTTAAGTAAGAGGAACTTTAATTTGCAGTCTCTTAGCTTTTGGACTTGGATTGTTTCCCTCATAAGGGTGAGCAAGATGAGGTCAGTTCTTTTTTTTTGAAACAGGGTCTTGCTCTGTTTCTCAGGCTGGAGTGCTGTGGCCCAGTCTCTACTCACTGCAACCTCCACCTCTGGGGTTCAATCAATTCTTGTGCTTCAGTCTTTCAAGTAGCTGAGATTACAGGCATGTGTCACCACACTTGGCTATTTTTTGTAGAGATGGGGTTTCACCCGGTTGCCCAGGCTGGTCTTGAACTCTGAACTCCTGAGCTGAAGTAGTCCACCCACCTTGGCCCCACAAAGTGCTGGCGTTACAGGCATGAGCCACCACGCTCAGCCTCTACAAAAAAAGTTTTGTTTTTTTTTTAAATTAGCCAGGTGTGGTGATGCCTGCATGTAGTCCCAGCTACTTGGGAATCTGACACAGGAGGATTGCTTGAGCCTGGGAGTTCAAGGCAGCAGTGAGCTGATCATGCCACTGTAGTCCAGCCTGGATGACAGAGTGAGACCCTGACCCCAGAAAAGTGCTTCAGTGCAAATATGAGGCATCTGTTCTTATTTCTGAATATGCATGCACCGTTCAATATATCTTCTCTTCTTTTGGAAGAAGGGGCATGTCTCCAAAGCCCTCTCCTGTCACAGTTTCTAGCTGGGCAATGACCAAGATTGAGAGTTCAAGAAGTTAATTCCATCTTGGGACAGTCTGTCATTGGTGTGCTAGGGTACGGTTCCAGCCTGAGGCTCTTGTTTCTTGTTTGACTCATGCTCATTCTCATGTTGATTTCTGACTCCAGCCAGGGTCACAACTACTCCAATTGTCAGAACTGTTCGAACAAGCACCACTGTTCGAACGACAACAACCCTTCCAACAACAACAACTCTTCCAACGACAACGACCCTTCCAACGACAACAACCCTTCTAACGACAACGACCCTTCCAACAACAACAACTCTTCCAACAACAACGACTCTTCCAACGACAACGACTCTTCCAACGACAACAACCCTTCCAACGACGACTCTTCCAAAGACAACGACTCTTCCAATGACAACGACCCTTCCAACGACAACAACTCTGCCAACGACAACAACTCTTCCAATGACAATGACCCTTCCAACGACAACGACTCTTCCAACGATAACGACCCTTCCAACGACAACGACTCTTCCAACGACAATGACCCTTCCAACGACAATGACTCTTCCAATGACAACGACTCTTCCAACGACAACAACTCTGCCAACGACAACAATGGTCTCTACCTTTGTTCCTCCAACACCATTGCCCATGCAGAACCATGAACCAGGTAAAATAGATGTGTTTGGGAGCCCAAAGACCTTCCAATGAGGAGCTGTGAACCATCCAGGGCATTGTATCAAGGTAGAAGGACGGTCTAGAGTGAGAGGTCTTACCTGGGTTTCAATCAGGGTCTCCTCAGGATTTGTGATCCTCCCCAACTCCCAAGTTACATGCATCTTTTGCACCAATAAGCATTTTTGGAGTGAGGGGACCCATTGCTTTTTGTCAGATTCTCAAAGAAATTGATTATTAACCGAAAATAGCTGGACCATTTATTGTAGGACATCTAACAGGGATAGTATGGATCTGATTCAGCTATGTATGGCTTTATGATGAAAACACAGGGAATGCCAGAGAACCAAAGGTCAGATAAATGAGATTCTGTCCTCATGAAGAGCTCTGAAGAGAGATCATTTAGTCCATTCTGAAAGCAGACCTTGATTTCAAAGAATTTAACATTTACTGTTTTCTATTTACGAGGCACCATGCTTCATGCATTTAATTGTTAGGATAATTATATTGACTGTAGGTGTGGTTTATAATTGTGAGAACTGAGACAGAATCTAAAAGCTCATTGTTGAAAGTTACAGAGATAGAAGCCAGGTGCGGTGGCTCATGACTGTAATTTTAGTCCAGGAGTTCAAAACCAGCCTGGGCAACATAGTGAGACCCTGTCTCTGCATGGTGATGTATGCCTCTAGTCCCAGCTACTTGGGAGGCTGAGGTGGAGGAATCGCTTGGGGCCAGGAGGTCAAGGCTGCAGTGAGCCATGATGGCACCACTGTACTCTCTAGCCTGGGTAACAGAGTGAAAAAGAAAGAAAAGAGAAAGAAAAAATAAATTTACACAGATACAAAGTTGTTGAGTCAGGTTTTGATCTCTGTTAGCTTGAATTGGGGCCAGTACTTTTAACTACTGGATCATGCCTCCTATTATGAGCACCGAGTTTTATGTTTGGATGAGTTTGCCCTGATTTAACATTTTTACTGAAAAAAAGAAAAAAAAACAAAAAAACCCTTAAACAACCATGCTGTTTTTTCAGGGCAGTCAATAACTTACACATTTTTACTTCAAAGGTCCTTTAATTTATTTATGTACAATGGAAATTGCGAAAGGTGCGATTTATACCTAGGAAAAAGTACCATTAGATTTAAGGGCTTTAGGGATTTAGAATGTACATGTTTATTTTTTTTTCAGTTCAGGCCATATAGTTGATACTTCAAATTCCCTGTAAATAAGATATTAGATTTAATATAAATGGAGGATAACTTGACTTATAGGTGGGGAAATAGCTTGTCATTCTGAGGACAAGTATAGGTTCAAATCTTCCATTTCCGGGATTTAAAAGATAACTTTTAGTGGAGATTCTCAAAGCTCTAAAAAACCCATTGACGCCTTAGGGTGGCTCTGGATTCTGAGGACTAACAAATGTCACAACCTCTTAGCTGGAAAAATCTGATGGAACATATTGCTTTCCCTTGACTCTCATTGAATTGTGTGTGTATTTAACCAGGAGGGATCTGAAGGATTGGGCTAGTAGCTCAGTTTGGAAGAGAGGGTGTTAGTTAGGTCATAGCTTGGATTTTAGAGCCATAAAGTTTGTAAGAAAAACAGTTTTGTTCCAGGCAGTCGACTTTCTCAATGTTGATTTCACTTTCAGCTTGTGTCTGCTAAGGTGGATGGATTAGTGGACTTGTTTTGGAGAACATCCCCAAGTCATTGACTTCATTTAAAGCCAAGATTTGGGAGAAAGTTGCCTTTCTCCTAAGAGTTGGTTTTTATGGCTATAACCTGGAGGATGGTATCAACTGAGGTTTTTCTTATCTGGATAGTTTTCTAAAGAGTTTGCATGAGTTGAACATTACAGTCCAAGAATGAGAGAACCCTGGAGCGAATGGAATGCAGGGACATTTACATTTGCATCCAATCCGCCCTGCTCAGTGTCCCTAGTACCTGCTCGCTGCCTAAAACATCCATGGAACAATTGTATGTATGGTTGTAGGAGCAGCGGAGAAAAGAAAGATGCCATAAAGACCCAAACTTAGGAAAGAAGTTAAGCTGAAGAGGTCTTTTGCATAGAACTCAATTGGGTACAGACTGCCCACATGACTCTCCTGTGTTATTCTGGTTTTTGTTCTGAAAGAGAGCCACATCCTCTTACGGGTTTGAGCACTAGAGGAAAACAGGAAAACAGTTGAGAACAGGAGAAAGAGTGATGTTGAAAAGTGAAGTTATGGAGACTGTGGTGGGGAAGGAGAAACAGACCAGTGAGAGGCAATAAGGAAAGCCCAGGTTTTGGAATTCATCCAGTCACCGTCACTAATTGACTCTAAATTTCTGTGGTGCTCTAAGAGAAGGGAATCATGTAAATGCTTTGTAAAGAGGCAAGTGATCAACTTTGCAAATAAGGAAATAAAGGAGAGATTTCAGGAAAGGAAAGGGGAATGTAGCCCTATGCTGGAGAATTCCTGATGGAAGCTTTCCAGTGAGAAGTGGAAGATGAGTCAGAAAACACAGGAAATCACCCTTAAAGGAATGACTAGAATGCAGATGCGGAAGGAGCTGGGGTCAGGGTCTGCCAGGAACCTTACCTTTAGGGTTGCAAATCATTGCCAAGGCTGACGTTGGGCAATATTGTCAGCTTTTAGAGACCTCAAGGAATTAATATTGTATCTGTTCTGTTAGTTACTGGATGTGTGGATAATTGAACTTCAGTAAGACCAGGAAATCCAGAATGGGGCTGTTTTGAAGGGGTTAGAGCATGTTAGTGCAAATTCCCAAGCCCCCCCCTCCCTGTTTTCTGAAAGTGAAATACTTGTATGAATAAAATAAAAGTTTAATTGGGTGTTCTGCATAAAATGCCCTGTTGTTGACTTTGTGTATTTAGAGAGAACCTGGGGGTATAGAAAGTGTGAGATAATCTTATATATTGATAAGAGTAGCTAGAATATTATCTAGATCGCATTTCCTTGTGTTAATGAAATAACTAGACAGCAGGGCAATGCCTGAAGGCCATCTTGGAATACATTTCTAAGAGGAGCTGAAAGGTTCAGAAGTGGGTGGGTAGGAGCCCTGCATGCCCACTGTGGAAGGCCAGGAGAAGGGCCCGTGGAAAGGTGATGGTAATTCCTGATTCTAGTTTTGTTCTTTATTTTTCTTGGGGTGCACATTTTCCTCCACAAATGGAACAATTCTTCCATTCTTTTCATTCCAGTAGCCACTTCACCATCTTCACCTCAGCCAGCAGAAACCCACCCTGTGACACTGCTGGGAGCAACAAGGACACAACCCACCAGCTCACCATTGTACTCTTACACAACAGGTAACTGCGTTCTCTTTCCTGAACAGCTGGGATCGTTCAAACCTTGATAACCATTGAGTTGGTTGAGAGCACATGCTCTGGAATATGACTGATCTGACTTGAGTGCCAACACCAGCCACACAGCCGGGTCATTTGACTTGTACAAATATCTACCCTTTCTGAATGCTTTGTCATTTGTGTGTGCGGTTTTTTTTTTTTTTTTTTCTCTCTGAGATGGAGTCTCGCATTGTTGCCCAGGCTGAAGTGCAATGGCGCGATCTCGGCTCACTGCAAGCTCCGCCTCCCGGGTTCACGCCATTCTCCTGCCTCAGGCTCCCGAGTAGCTGTAATTTTTTCGTATTTTTAGTAGAGACGGGGTTTCACCATGTTAGTCAGGATGGTCTCGATATCCTGACCTCGTGATCCACCCGCCTCCACGTCCCAAAGTGCTCGGATTACAAGCGTGAGCCACCGCACCCTGCTTTTTTCTTTTTTTTTTTGAGACTGAGTCTCGCTCTGTCGCCCAGACTGGAGTGCAGTGGCGCCATCTCGGTTCACTGCAACCTCCGCCTCCTGAGTTCAACCCATTCTCCTGCCTCAGCCTCCGGAGTAGCTGGGATTACAGGTATGCACTGGCTAATTTTGTATTTTCAGGAGAGAGGGGGTTTCACCATGTTGACCAGGCTGGTCTCAAACTCCCCAGCTCAAGAAACTCGCCTGCCTTGTCCTCCTAAAGTGCTGGTATTATAGGCATGAGCCACCGTGCCCAGCTGTTTTGTCATTTGTAAAAAGGATGTAATACCATGATCTTGCAGAATGCTTGTGAGAATCAAATGGGATGAAAGATTTGGGACATAGTTACAGGGGGTAAGTGATAAATCTAATAGCAGCTATTATTATCATTCCTTAGAACATCAAGAATCCAAATGCCTGACTGGCACAGGCAGCTTATGTGATTTGGAAACATCCACAGGCATATTACTTTGTTTTTAGAAATCAGATCAACCAGTCTTGAATCTGAACATATTATTTTGACTTGATTCCTTGGGCCAGGGCCTTAAAACAATTAGATCCAGCCCTCTGGTGTTTAGCTCAAACACCAGACCCTATGCTTCTGACAAGTCCCAGACCTTAAAAAGTACCAGGAGGCTTCCACTGACTCATCAGATTTCTATTTACATGAGCATTCTCAGATGGTGCTATGATTTGAAAGTTTGTGTCCTCGCTATTAAGGGAAAACTCCCAAACTGGGTTTTCTCTCTGTTCTCACACCACCTCAACGACAATCATCAACTCAGATGAAGACTTCCGTGACTGAGTGTGGGGAGTTTTTTCCCCATACACTAAGCAGTGGACACCGGCTGTGTGTTCAATTCAATTCTCACACTATCTACCCGGAGAGAGGGTCAGATCCCACAGGTTAGGGGCTCAGTCCCCAATACTGCCCCTCCCACCCCCACCACACACACCAGTTACAAGTTTGGGCCTCTGAAACTTCTGACCTCGTTTCAAGTTGGGGTTCCCACAACCCTCTCTTTGGGTTCTATTAATTTCCTGGAGTGGCTTCCAGAACTCAGGGAAACACTTATGTTTACCAGATTATTGTAAAGGATATTGCAAAGGATACAGATGATGAGATGCACAGGACAAGGTATATGGGAAAGGGTTCATGCCCTTCCTTGGGAACTCTACCTTCTAGTAACCTCCAAGTGTTTAACTATCTGGAAGCTCTCCAAACCTAGTCTTCTATTATCTTTCTTTTTTTCGAGACGGAGTCTTGCTCTGTCATCACCCAGGCTGGAGTGCAGTGGTACAATCTTGGCTCACTGCAACCTCTGCTCCCAAGTTCAAGTGATTCTCCTGCTGCAGCCTTCCAAGTAGCTGGTATTACAGGCATGCACCATCAAGCCTGGCTAATTTTGTATTTTTAGTAGAGATGGGGTTTCATCATGTTGTCCAGGCTGGTCTTGAACTCCTGGCCTCAGGTGATCCGCCCACCTCAGCCTCCCAAAGTGCTGAGATTACAGGTGTGAACCACCACACCCAGCCCTTTTGGGTTTTTATGGAAACTTCAAGTCATCAACATTCCATCCCCCAGGGGCACAGGGAAGGACTCTCTCTGGGAAGTGTCTTATGATCCACAATCAGAAAGGCAGGGGAAATTAAAGTTGTGCCTTGTCAGGTGAAAGGAGAGCAGGAGAAAGTCAAAGATTGTTTCCTAAGGTCAAACATACTTATTATAACAAAAGACTGTAATTAGGGATATGGGAGTTATGAGCCAGGAACCATGCATGGACACCTATCTATCTATATATAATCTGATAACACCACACCCCTAAATTCATGTTGATAGCTAATTCCCAATGCAAGTCTTAAGAACTGGAGCCTTCGGAGCATGATTAGGTCATGAGAGCCCTGCCTTCATGAATGGAATCAATGCTCTGATAAAAGGCCGAAGGTACATTTTCTTGATGGTAGAGAAACAATAAATTAATTAATTAAACAAAAGGAGGCCCAAGGGAGCTTGTCTGCTCCTTCCCCCATATGAGAACAAATAGAAGACACCGTCCACGGGGAAGAGGACCCTCACTAGATTGAGTAATCAGCCTGTGCCTTGATCTTGGACTACCCAGCCTCCAGAACTGTAAGCAATACATTTCTGTTTAAATTACCCAATCTAAGCTATCTTATCACAGCAGCCTGAACAGACTCAGACAGATGGGTTGAGGACACCCACACCAACATCAGAGAGGTATGCCCCTCTGAGATCCTGCTACTCTGCTCCAAGCAATCCTTACTATTCTTCCAAGTCTGAACAGGCCTCTTAGAGTCTCTGCTCCTTGGAAGTGTAGAATTGACCTGTCTTTCCCTGTAATGGAGAAAGGTGATGCTGAAACCTGTCATCTTTCCCAGCTAACTCTCCTTGTTCCCCTTAGTGGTAAGTTCTGGGAGTGCCCTGTGCTGAGTTCCTCTGTGATGCTGAGCTGGCTCTGTGTCCTTGTGTGGCATCCAAGCAAGGTCATGCCTTGCAGGCCTCCTTGTGTGTATGACTCATTGTACTCAGCAGTTGCCAATCTGTAGGCAGCTGCTCCCCAGCCTGCATGGCCTACCTTTTTTGCCAATCATTCCTGGTAGCTGGTTGATTTAAAATGGACCTGCAGTGTGATTCACATAGGGACTCATTCAGTTGGGATTAGATAATGGTGACATTGCGTTTTGAAAGTGTAATCCTTACCGCAAACTGTTTCCAGGCACAAAAACAAAATGAAAATAGATAAAAACACAAGGAAACAGCAGTAGGAGCAACTGCACCCCACTCTTTGAGAGTGTAAGGAGGAAGAAAGTAGGAGTGGGGAATCATTCTCTGAAATACCATGTCAGCGAAACCTGGTCAAGGTAGAGTTTTCCAGGGTGGAACAGACAGTGGAGCAGCTGTATCCCCAGGATTTGTGTGGCTGCTGCCATTTTGGCTGTGTATCCAAAGCTCATGGGCCAAGTTCTTACTGTGCCTGAGTTGGCCTTCAGTTGCCTAAAGCCTCATGGAAGCAAGGAATATTAGGTCTGGAAAGGATTGGAGCTGTCATATGGCCCACTACCCACCTTTGACAGATGGATGTGCCAGGAAATGGATATATTATCTTGTTTAATTCTTTCAAGGCAGGCCATATTTAATGCTATTGCCAGATTGAGGAGGCCCTATAAATCTGCTTTGGAGACACACAACTCCCATTGCAGCTACGAGTTACTAGTTTTGTGCCCACAGGAAAATTGTTGAATATTCCTCTTTGGATGATTAGAGAGTATATGATATTTGGAAATTGCATTGCATAATATCTATCCCTCCCCTCTTCCCACTCCTCTTCCCATTATATAATAATAATAGCTTAGTGCCAACCACTTTACATGCATCATCTAATTTAATTGTAACAACTTGATGGGCTGTGTACTATTAATAGGTTGTAGTTCATGCGTACTCTAGCTAGAATATATATATAGTAGTTTTCCCCTTATCTGCAGTTTTGCTTTTCTGTAGCAGTCAACCATGTTCCTAAAATACTAAGATATTTTGAGAGAGACTAAATTCCCATAGATTTTGTTACAGTTTATTTCTATAATTGTTCTATTATATTATTTATTTGTTGTTAATCTCTTTCTGTGCCTAATTTGTAAATTGAACTTTATCATAGGTATGTATATATAGGAAAAACATGGTATCTGTAGGGTTTGGTACTATTCTTGGTTTCATGCATCTACTTGAGGGTCTTGGAACATATGCCCTGTGGGTAAGGGGGCACTACTGTATACACACATACACACACATCCCTTTATATACCTATACATACATACATACATACATACCTGTGTGTATGAAAAGGACTTTGAATATCAAAGTTACATTGCTAACAGACATTGTCAGCATTGAACTCAAATTTTATCTGACTCCAGTCCATGCTGTTTTTCTGCATCACCCCATCCTCTTCCTGAAACTGTTACTTAAGGTCATAATACCTGTCACAAACAGAGCTGAGATTCTATGTATTGCATAAACCTACATCTGTCTCTCTCTCCCTTTCCTTTCCTTTCCTTTCCTTTCCTTTCCTTTCCTTTCCTTTCCTTTCCTTTCCTTTCCTTTCCTTTCCTTTCCTTTCCTTTCCTTTCCTTTCCT